ATAATGTAGTTCTCGAAATAAATTTTAAGATGATATAAGCAATTTGTAGATTCGATTAGCGTACGATCGTCGAAGAATTTTTAAAGTTAGCATATTATCGAAATTTTCGAAATACTAATTTTGAACGGCTTACTTTGACAAGTCGTAGCATTTGTTACAATTGATCGTTTCATAAACCATTAACGATGTAGAAAACTAGACCTTGAACACTTCGAAATGGTATTAAGAATGTAATATTTCGTCCTTGTTTGATGGAGAGTTAAGATTTTGTTAAAATGCGAGAGAAAAAGATAAATTAAAATTTATTGTGATTTTGTCCCTATTTGATGAAAATTAAAATCAAATTTTTAATAAAGTTTGATAAAAGTTAAATGGTTATGGATTCCATGAAATACGTTATTAAAATTAATTGTTAACTTTGATTTAAATTAAAATTTATATTTCAATCGATATCAAACATGATTTTATATTTTGAAAAAAAAAAAACTCAAAAATTGGGGTACGTGCCCCAGGACTCCCCATTCCGCCCCTGAACCTAGTATTCGAGAACACAATTCAAATATAAAGACCAAATCTACATTAAGTGAAGTATAATGAAGCTTGACATATCAATAGATGTCACCTGCATCGCGTCTAAGATATCTTAAGCAACAAAATTATTGTTTGATATAATTAGGGACTATATTAGAGGGAGGAGATGAGTAAAGGACCATATGATATGGGAGAAGAAAGTTTAGGCTTTAACAAATAATTCTATCAAATAACATAGAGAATCAATATAACCTGGCCCATTGCAATGCCCTGCTCATTTTAACATATGAAAGCGTACTATTTCTAGTGTTTGGGAATGTTGAAGTGTAGTGTCATAGACCAACAGATACTTCAATCAACTCAGCAATATGTTATGGGTGTGACAGAACTTAAGTGGTGTAAAACTCGACCAGGCCACTTAGGACAAAGCTCAGCACTACATGTGCCAAGCTGGCCCATCCTGACCTTAATTTAAGAAAACCCTTGCCTTTTTTTTCTGTCTCTCTCTCGAGTTCTTTGGAGATGGGTTTGAAAAACAAGTAGTTTTTTAAGAGAACCAAAGGCCCTGTGGATCGATACGTGTTGTCTTTGTACATGTGTCCGGCCCGATCAGCCCGTTTTATACCACTTTGGCCATTTTAGTCAATGGAAAAGAAGAATAATGCTATTCGTAGTCGCTCACTACGACAGTCATCCTACGTGGTAAATACATTGCAGGTAGTTATTTGATGCATCAATATGGTAGTTTTTTATTGATTCATGTATCAAATAATCACATGCCATGTGTCTGTCATGCATGGCGACTGCCATAATGAGCGATTGCGAATAGTATTATTCAATAGGAAAATATGAAGTGTAACAATATCCCATAGCAGAAAGATGTCCCCCTAACTTAAAGTTGATCTTATTCGGTCACCATCACTAAAAAAGAGATGGAATTGTCATTAGCAAAAGAAAGACCCACAACTAAAGCACCCCACCCCAAAAATTCCTTCCCTTTCTCTTCTGCGAAGTGGACAAAATCTACACACGGCAAAAGCAACAAATGATGGCAATTTACCCTTCTATCAACTTCTATGGGCATGCTCCTTCACAAGGACCCACTAAGAATGGTGCATAAAGACATCGTGATTACCCACTTCTTGCTCAAAAAGTTGAGTCTTTCATTGTGTCTCAGAATTAGACTAGAGGTGTTAAAATGTGCTGAGCTACAAGTTAGGCACCATTAGGATGTGTCGTGGGCACGGGACCGGCCCTTCTCTAAAGTTGGGTCGTGTTTGGCCCAGCTCTACAGACTTGTGTCCTCTCATGCGAACCTATAATTATTAAAAAGTACTTGTGCAAAAAAGGTATGGGAACATAAACGTGACATGGTCCAGCATGTGTCATGCCGGGCTAGATACTTAAAGAAAGAGCCATGCCGTAAAAGAAAATGTTTTGTAGCAGTGTCAAAATGGACTAGCTTACCTCGGCATCGGGCCAGGCTGTGTCCCGGCATTTCTTTAGAAGTGGACCGTGTCAAGCTTAACAAATAATTCAAAAGACGGAAAGAAACACAATCTTTTTCTGAAAAAAAATAAAAAATAAAATAAAATCAACTCGACTCGACTCATTTGACAGCCTTATTGCTAAGTCAATGTTCAACAGAAAGAAATCTTTGAAGTTTAAGATCTGCTATTTTCCTGTACATAGTTTGATCGAAACCAAGAATTTCACAAGCATTTGCCACCACACAAAAATGAAAAGTAAAAGAAGAAACCCTATCCAGTCTTTTACCATGATAGTCATTTTCACCTTTCATAGTCAAAATTGAGTGGGGTTGATGGACCCCTATATGAACTACAGATGATATTAGATTTCGTAAAGGACCCCCCTTTGTTCCTCACTTAACAAACGAGTTCTATCCCCACTCTATTAAGTGGACTGTGCCTTCCAAAAGTATGGACCATTAGTTTTACATCCATTATCGCAATCGTATGGTTCTGAATATTCAAGTAATCATATCGGTCAAAACTCTACAACGTAGTGGACAAGTTTAACTTGTTTCCTTCCTTACTTTTGCTCAGCTATTCGGTCCATTTAACCAAACATGTCATTACTCTCTAATCAGCTCCTCAGTGGAGAATTTTGATTTGCACCTCAATGAAAGACTAAATGCCAAGCTTCAGAGGACAATTAGTCTACAAGCAACTTCTTGATAAGGGGATTTCAAACATAGCCAAATACAGCAAAGATTGCAAGAAAGTACAAGCTCGGCTTCTGATTCCAAAATTTTAAACTAAAGAAATCTAAGTTAATTCATTGAGGCGGGATGCTCATTCGTTCACTGAATTGAGGCTCAACTGCCAACGAACTTGCTTGTTCTTAGTCTGAATCAAGAACGAGAAATCCTCGCTTAACTTGCTTCTTCCCTCTCGAGTATTTCCCAAATTACCATTTTCCTCTTCTTGGGGACAACCATTCTCCATACTTGTGCATGAAACAGCTGGAGAACCCAATCGCAATGACAAATCACATGGACTTTCAGAAGGGTTGATAGAATTGAGTTCGAGCGGTAAATTAACGTTTGGAGGATCTTGTTTACAAGAGGAATGTTTTTGTATGGCACTGATATCATTCTCTGAGGGGTGAGAATAAGAATTGGAAGGCATCTTTAGACTAAGCTTTGGGTCTTCAAACTGAAATTGATCTGCATAATACAATGGATAAACTGGCCACGAAGTTTGTACTGGCGCACTTCGGTGGTTACTGCTGGGAATCAAATTCTTCGGTAAAATGGGAAATTTCATGCTATTACAATCTCTGTTTCGGACACATAAACTGTCAACATTCGTGCTGGAAAATGCGGAATTCATGGCAGTGGAGGTCATAAGTTTCGAATACTGTAACATCAGTTGGCTTTTCGATGTATAATTGCCAAGAAGTTTGCTGTCCAAATTGCTCGGTGGAACAGAGGTGGCGTCTGGAGTATCAGGCCTAAGGTAATATCTAGGCGTGTCATTTCGCTGACTTCTGGATGACCTTCTTGGAGTGCAGCCCAAATATAGAGCAGCTATCCACGAGGGAAACAAAAGAATAAGAATAATCACTTTAGATATTAGTTGTTCAATTTGGGGTTAGCATTTTTTATAACTGAAAGACTTCCAATCCCAAATCAACAAATTATCAAACTACAAAGCCAGAATCACAAATCCTCAACAGAAGTAGCTTTTTTTCTTCATTAAATATTGTCTAGTACTTTCTATTGCACCTAATCGAGTGCCCGGTAAATGCCAGGGTTACTTTTACACAGACATACAGATCCAAATAGACAACAAATATCAAATGTATAACATAAATTGATATTTACCTCCAAGAAAGGAAGATTTAAATGGAAGTTACCTTCAATACAAGGCTGCAAAAGTTCCCCAGTTTCCGAACTCTCGTCTCTTCGAATTATAGTGTCAATAGCATCATTTACTCTATGCCAAAGAGTTTTAAGATCTGAATACTCAGCCTGAGGAAACAAATACATGCCAAACGTGAACAAAAAAAGCAACAAGTGCATGTTTGCTATGCAGCAGTGGACAATCCTCCCTACCAAACGTTCAGTAAAAAGAACTAAAAATTTTTAACTGAACTGTGCTACAATAGAGGAGAATTTGAGAATGGCGAAGGCACAAACATAACCTCAGAATTGGCTTTGGAATACATAATTTCTTCAGCTTTCAAGACCACAATGGGCAGATTCTCTTGCCACTCTTTGTTCTTCTTAGTAGCAGAACCATGAACCTCATTCACAATCCTAACACAACCATTTGACGGAAAAAGGATGAAACGACCCCTATCGAGGAAATAAGTCTACAGTATAATTAGATACTGCATAGAGTACCTGAAGATTTCTTGAATTAGAGAACCTCTAATGCGATGGTGTGTGTCACTGTGCCAAGCTCTTCTAACACACTCATATGGCCGTGGCCCAGGTCTTGGCATCTTCAACAGCTGGGAAAAAAACAGAATAGCCTGGTTCTTGAAGAAAATTAGTGAATTCAAATAGCAAATACTGTAATTCTGGGAAGCCTTAAAAAAAATTTTCTTTCTATTTGTTTTTTCGGGACTTTTGATGGGTTTATGGTGTCTAAATTCAGGGAATGAAGCTGACAAAAGAATTCAGAATGAAGAGCATTATTGACAGTAAGGGTCACTTTTATGTAAAAAAACACTCTTTATTTCCAACAATAAAATAATCAATTTTTCTTTTGCGTAAAAGGGGTAAATTACTGTTCTGCACATCGTTTCTTGTGTTGTCTCATTCATGCACTCAATTATTCATGGAGTTGTGATGAGTTTGGTGTGTCCCCCATTCTGCCACATGCCTGCTTCCCCATTCTCTCTCTCACTATATATGCACATATATTTGTATATGGGGCCATTCATCATTCATGTGGTGGGGGAGAAAGCTTTGATGATGTACTTGTCACTGTCGGTGGCAATTATAAGCAAAAACCCAGTTTCAAATTGTGCTATACATCCTTTCAATCATGTTAGGGTGCCAAAAAGAATTTGACACCCTAAATGACATACACTTACAATTGAGAGCGAGTGGGGGGATTTTTTGCATTTTATATTCACGTGGATCCCACGTGAGGTCCATGCACATGTGAGAGTAGGTCATCCAAGATGTCAAATTCTTTCTGGCAACATTACTTAATTCACATCCTTTATCCTTTACAATATATCCTTTACAACAATATATAAAACAGGAAGGTTGTAATTACTGTTCCTAAGCTAAATGACCAATTTTTTATCCAGTCGGTTAGCTGAGCCAACGAAGCCGAGCAGGAAAAGAGGAAATCTTTTTTTACAATTTGTTTTTCTGCCTTTTGTTCTCTAAATTTCCTGTGTACACTTTTCTCTCTATCTCTCATTCGATTTCTCTAGATGCTTCTTTCCCCTCTTATCTCTCTCTCTCTCTCTCTCTCTCGCGATTCCGTGTCCTCCTTTTGAAACCCTAACGAATTCCACAAATTTCTTCCACTTTAAATGTGATCCTACGTTGTAACATCAATAAAATATCGCAGAATTTCGCTTGGTTCTTCTTCTCTACGATTGATTTTCTGTATTTCATTGTGTATTATTTTTGCCCTTTCAGATCCCCTTTTCGATTTCACTCGGTTCTTCTTCTCTACGATTGATTTGATGTATTTCATCGTACATCATTTTTGCCCTTTCAGATCCCCTTTTCGATTTGTTGTAACGTTGTTACCTCTTTCTTCATCTCTCCATCGTCTCTCATTTATGAGATTTCAGAGAGGTTTTCATTTTCAGGGAGGATACGATACGTTATTATGTTTTGCGTTGTGGTGCAAACTTGGTTTATCTAGAAAATTTTTCTGAGATTTCAGAGTGGCATTCATTTTCAGGGAGGATACGTTTATATGTTTCGATTGTGGTTGAAACTTAGTTTATTTAGAAACTTTTTTTTCTTGACATTGATGCTTGATGAAATGGTTTTAAGATGCTTATATAGTTATTCTATTCAATCTTGTTTGTGTGTATTGCTAGATGTACTTTTCAATTGATGACCACATACAACATTTTCCTTTTATTGGTCAGAACTGTGAGATGAGGTAATAGGTTAACCGATCGACGAGCCTAGCAGGTTTTAGAGGTTGAAAGAAAGCTTTGAGATCCTCTCATGTATTTGAATGTCTGTAGTAAATTGAGTAGGGTTTGGTTTCTTCTTTAGTTTAATCTATTTACATTTTTTACGAATTTCTTCTTTGTTCTTTGCAGATGTTGGGGAACTTTTGGTGTTGGACTGCTGTTCAAGATTATGGTTGAAGCAAATGCTTGGTGAGTAGCAACACATTTTTATTCTAACTAAAAATTGCTACATCAAGATTTTGTATTAAATTGGTCATTGTCTGATATTTGGAGGTATCTTTATATTTTAGCACCAATGAATAAGTACATGTCAGTGCATGTTTAGTCCATATTTGAGTGAGTGTTTTGTATTTTAGAGTTTGCATACCAGTTTATTTAATTCATATGTGATTTTTTTTCGGAGGCATTATTTTAAGTACATTTTTTAAAGAAACTTAGTATGTTATTTGTATAGAATAGTTGCAACACGTCTATGGAAGAAAAAAATCATTCGTATAAATGTAGGCAATCTGTTCGATCATCAAGGCGAAGTCAATCATTTTTATGCAATAGGGAAATTGCCGCTATTCCAACCGTTTCTTCTAGTTGGTATCTATATCTATATTTTATTAATTCTCTTGATTCATTTATAGTTTTGTTCTTTTTATTTTATGTTGCAAGTTCAGTTGTGTCAATTATAAATTAAATTCTTGTGATTTAAGTTTTTATTTTCATTCCTTCCGTTCAAAATATAGGTTTAGAGGGTTCGGTTGTAGCTGAATTGAGTATTAAGCGAACACGAAAGATTACTATTGTAACAGAAAATAAATGCGATGAACAACGGAAAGAAAAAAGAGTGAAAACTGGAAAACAATCTGGTGAGAATCGTTATATATTGTTTGTTTTTATTACTCTTTGTTCTTTTAATTTATCATGGTAAAATTGGTTGAACAAAATGTAATATTCATGTATATTTGACTATTAAATATTTAAATTTTTTTCCTTATTAGGGTGTTCAAATGAGCGACATTATGACAATATTCTTTCCTCAGAACATTATGTGCTACTTGAAACTACTATTTGTGAGTATTGTGGCGCTGTTAAATTTTTTAGCAAAACAAAGGGATTTTGTTGCTTAAATGGACAAATTCTTCTAAAAACAAATGATGTGCCTCCAAAATTGTATATGTTGTTTACTTTAAATTCTTTAGAATCTTTAAACTTTCGAAAAATGGTGCAAAGCTATAATTGTAATTTCTCTATGACATCATTTGGTGTGAATTATGATAAAATATTATGCACAAACTATAACAGTATTTATACATTTAGAGTTCAGGGTTAGATATACCATTTTATAAATGAAATTATTCCAAGAGATAATCGTCCTTCTCATTTGCAACTTTACTTTTTTGGTACTGATAATGAAGTGAAAAATAGATTAAATTTGAGTGAATGGTTAGTTGAATTTGTTGTTGTTAAATTGATGAAGATTTTAGATAATAATCCTTACACGTCCTTTTTTCGAAATTTGGGAACTATTCCTGATTTAGAAAATCATTGTATTCGATTGCGATGTAATCAAAATACTGATCAGAGAACATTTAATACACCCAATGTTTCACAAGTTGCTGCTATTTGGGTTGATCATGATGACCATGGTGATCTTCATATGCATGATATTGTAGTTCACTGTAAAGATGAAAATCACAATAGAATACAATATTATTATGGATGTTATGACCCAACTTCTATTCTCTTATAGTGAAACAGGTTGGCACCAAGGTATACATCGAATTAATACGGACAAAAAAAAAACCACACATTTGCATAAATGAAGACATTGTTGATGCAGTAAGCTTTTCGTCTCCTGAGGAGCTAATTGAGAAAGAAACATTAGGTTAGTTGATGATATCCAACAATTTTACTTTAGGTTATGTATTTTAAAATATTTTATGCGCTTTGTTATGTTTTCTTTCGTCATTGTGTGATTTATTAACGTCTTGTTTTTAAAATTGTAGTAATGAAAAATAAGAAAGCCATGATGCAGGTGTCCTGTAGAATATTATTGTTATAAACTACAAATAAGATCATCAATAACTTTAATATTATTACATTCTGGAAGGTTATTTCAACAGTATGTCGTTGACATGTATGTAAAAATTGAAATATCTAGATTAGATTATTTTCGACATAATCAGAGTGTACTTCGAGCTGAATTATATAAGGGAATTGTAGATAGTCATGAGATTGGTGAAAAAAGAGGTAATAAAATTGGTCGTTTGATTGTTTTGCCTCTATCTTTTATTGGTAGTCCTAGAGATTTGAAAAAAAACATGATATGGATGCTATGTCTTTAGTCCAAAGATTTGGTAAGCCTAATATATTTTTAACGATGACTTGTAATCCAAATTGGTCAGAAATTACGGAACAAATGAAGTATAATGATGCAGTTCAAAATAGACTTGATTTAATAGCTCATATTTTTAGAGCAAAACTAGAACAATTAAAGAAAGATATATTGAAAAAAGGAATATTTAGACGAGTTGCTGCACATATATATGTAATAGAATTTCAAAAAAGATGGATCTCACATGTGCATTTTTCACTCATTCTAGAAAATGATTGTAAAATTATTTCTCCTAAATTGGTTGATAAATTTGTTAGTATTGAGATTTTTGATGAAATTCAATATCATTATCTACATTCTCTTGTTGTTAAACATATGATGCATGGTCTATATGGTGTTTTAAATGTAAAAAAGTTTGTATGAATAATAAAAATAAATGTAGATTTAGTTTTCCAGAAAAATTCAGTGAAAACACAATTATGGATGAAAATTCTCCCCCTAATTGTAAACGACCTCATAACGGGAAAAAAGTGAAGATTAGAAATCATTTTTTAGATAACAGTTGGGTTGTTCCATACAACGCATATTTATTAATGAAATAAAATTCCTACATTAATGTTGAGATATGTTCATCAATTCAAGCTGTTCAGTATTTATATAAATATGTTTATAAAGGTCACGACAAAATTAATTTTACTATCAATGAAAATGATCCCAATTTTGTTATGATAAAATTAAAATGTACCAATCAGCTAGATGGGTATCTCCACCTAAAGCTGTATGGAGAATTTTTAGATTTCTTTTATATGATATAAACCATCTATTATTTCTCTCCAATTGCACCTAGAAAACTATTAATCTATTACATATAAAGAATTTGATTATTTAGAAAAAATTTGTGAAAAAAGATTATTACAAAAAATCAATGTCGACGGAATACTTTCGGATGAATATTAGTAATTCCAAAGTGAAAACTTTATTATACAGAGAATTTCCAGAA